TTATACTTGTAAAATAACCCTCAACTTGGAGTTAGATTTGTTCCTCTCTGATTGTATAAAATGGTTTTTCTTGGCCATAAATCTTTGGAAAAGTAGTTGAATTGGACTTTCTTCACATGTATTTCTGTTTTGATTAATCAATTTAAAATTCTGTGAAACAACTTAAAAATCACTGGATAATATGATTTATCAAGATTTTTTTTTAAGTTGTTACAACTGCTTATGTAATATTATGAGTAATGTTATACTTGTATTCTTGTTTTAGTGTAGACAGATAATAGTCATTACATCATTAACTAATAGTGGACTTTGATAAGAGATGTCTAAACTACCAACTCACATATCTGCATCTTCATCTCTTCGATTTGTCTCCACTGAAAAAGTGTGTCCCAGATTCACTACATCCAGATCTTTGTCTTCCACTCTGTAAGTTTACAATGGCACAGTTTAAAGTGATGGTCACACAGTTAGAGCAAGAACATATCCCACAGCCTCTAATTCTAATGTGTAAAATGTTAACACAACAGTCATATCCTCATCAAAAATAAGTCTAGAAACTGTTTAAATATGTCTACTTTCATTCCAAAAAATTAGTTTATTATAGCTTCAGTAATAGCTTTCAAAATAATAATTGAAAAAAGTTAGAAATAATAATTCACAACATTACACATAAAGACTTGTCTTCATGTTTCTCTGGAAGTTGGAAAAAGAAAGTCATACCTCTTTAGGAACTTTCTGTCATGAGAATTTTTAACACATGCCCAAACAACATTGAAAGTTTGTACAGCTAGCAACAATTAAATTTCATAAATTACCTCAACTAATGATCTTTATCTTTCCAATTTCTATTAATATGTTTAAGTGAATTACAATGGAAAAAGTAAAAAAAAAAAAATCCTGTTATGTACTCAATAACATGCATATTCATAATACTACAAATCTGTTCACTATTCCTTTAGATTTTAGACACAGCTCTTACACAATGTGTACATTGTTTTATTAATAATAAATATAAACAACAGATTCCTTACCTAAATTTTGTGTAAGTTATAAAATTAAATGAGAAAAACGTGATGACAAGAAGTTTCCGGATTACTAGGACTTTTGCTGGTTACCAAGATCTAAAAGAGTGCATAACTAATCTTTCCTACCTATTTGTTTTTATATTCTTCATGTTTACTATCCCTCCAGATTTCATTTTAAAAGGGTCATCCTAAAAATGTTAGCAAATTGGCAAATTAAGTTGTGCAACCACTTCTTAAAAATAAGTACAATTTCTGAAAAAATAACTAATATTTTGTTCGGCAATTTTTTTTTAAAGAGAAATAAAAGTTTATTGACCATTTTACACATTTTCTATAATTATATAAAATTGCTGATTTTCATAAGTCTACATTTATCACAGTAATTTATTTTTGGCTTGCAACACTTAAAATATTAAGACTATTTAAAATAGTGAAACAACTCTAATACTAAGCCACCCATAAGTTTTTGAAGTCCAAGAATGACACTAAAGAAAAAGATTCATTTTACACTATTTCTTGTTTACAAATGCAATATTTATGAGGTAATAAAAGAAAATTAATCAAGAGTTAAAGCCTTAATTTTCTTTACTTTTAGTACCTCAATTTGTTCAGACATGAATATTAAAAGGCCTTACAAGAACATTTATGCATCCTAGGTAGACCTTAATGTCATTGCTAATGTCTTTTTCCATTACCACAGTATTAAACTAATAGATCCATTAGACATAGTTCTAGGCAGAGATACATACACTAAACGTTATTCATGATTTAGTAGTGTTTATCACTCATTTTGTTTTTATTTATTTATTTATTCAGAGATGAGATACCTTTCTCAGTATTCTGCTTCTTCTCAATAGTGGAGTATTACTTACAACACAATAAACATTAAAAATGTCAAATATTGAATTAGGATTACTCCAACTTAAGCAATGTCATTAAAATGAAGTAATCATAGATGAAAATAAGCAGAAATATACTATTCTACTACAAACATCCATCCACATCACTTTTCTTGACATCAACCAGAAAATTCACACATATACACACAGTCCAATTCAGTAGGCTCACAAGAATAACAGCAAAATTACTTTTACTACTATAACATAGCAATCAGCTAGAACTGCCATCCGGGGACATTGAAAAACTTGCTACATCAGATAAACATGAAAACTAGCTCAGACACAAACATATCGAAATGGTACTCATTTCACCTGATTTATACAGTTTGTGAATTTCTTGTGTTGGAATAAAATCTTCTGACTACACTGCAGGAAGACTGGTATACCAACCATGCATGATCTTACTGAGTGGCACAACACAAAGTCTCACTTACATGCAAGATCACGAGTTCACTCTGGAAGTTTATATAGGCAGATGTCCATCAGCTTTCATGAAAATACTTATCCTGATTGTTCAGAGAGCAAAGAATGCAAAATACTATTATTTTATTTGTAAGAATCCCTGATAAACATTAACAGTTGAATCCAACTGTAACTTTCCTTAGGAGTTTTATCAAACTGTCCTAGCTATATATCTAATGAATTTCGTGCTGCACGCTCCTCAGAAGTTCCCATATAACTCAAATAAGTAAATAGATTTATAGATTATTGTAAATTACCAAATATTTCTCAATTGTGACCCTTACTTTCCTAACTATCTCCTTTTAGCTATTGATTTTTTCAACCAACTTTTCTAACTGTACAAAAATGAAATGACTATTGCATATAGAACCAATTGCAACAACACTTGGTAGGTTGGAAAGCAAGGAATGCCACTTCCTTTCACTTATTGATTTCATGAGTCAACTGACTATTCTACCTAATGGTCAAGCAGTTAATACCAGCCATAATGATTAGGAGGTTGGCAATGGCATCTAAGACAATCATCAGACTGCTTCTCTACTGATGCTTCCTTATCTGACTCCTTACAATCAGCCAGATATGTATTACATCTTCCTCCTTATTGGTGATACAGGATCATATGACATAGTACTCTCATCATCAGAGTCAACTTGCTTGTCCACCTCTAATTCCTGAACTAATCAGTTCTATAAAAGGCACATCAGTGATGTTGGGTTTCAGGTTGTTGATGTGCACAGCACGACTGCTGCAACTCATAATTCACTTGATATAGCTGTCAACATACAAGATATGGACCAGTCCATCCAGAACTAAGTATTTCAGTGCTACCAACACATATTACAACTACACCCAGTCACCAGGCATAAACTTCCATTCCACTACTCTTTTGTAATAGCATTTCTTTTCACATAAAACCACTTTAACTATCTGTTGCCAAGCTAACTCATGCAGGTCAGCTAATGCAAAACACAGCCATTCCACATATTTTTATGGATACTGTGGTAGCTCTTACTGGATGGAAGGACCATACAACATATCGAATGAAAGCTGGTCTTTTAGTCCAAACATCAGGAGGTTTGGAGAATAACCAGTTGACTATTGTTCAGTTGTACAATGTGCCATCATGACTTACAGACTGTAGGTGCTCATCTCAATCAGTTTGGTCAGGGTTAACAAACTTAGCAAGCATTTACTTGACAATCTGTACTGCCATTTCAGCCAAACTATCAGATTGAGGATGATATGGTGAAGTGTGGATCTTCCTCAGGCACAACATTCGACATAATTCTGCAAACAAATGGTTACTGAAGTTAGCTTCTTGATCCACATGATCTCTCCAGATGTACCAGAGCACAGTAAATATTATTCACCCCAAACAACCGATGAACCGTGCTAACATGTCAGGCATATGGATAAGCTTCCGCCCACTTGGCAAAATAATAAATACCATCCTATAACAATTACTTTCAGTTTCAGGCAGAGAACTAGCTATATCTAGGGTGATTCTCTCCAATGAAAACTTACCATTCTCTGATCAAGTATTCCCTGGTATTGTCAGTTTTTTCATTTGTCAGTGCATTGAGTATGATATCTACACTCTTGCTCAATATCTTTATGTGAATGCAGCCAGAAAAACTACTGCACATTGACAATAGTTTTTGACAATCCCAATTGTCCTCCAGCCTTTAGATTGTGCAAAGCCCAAAAAAAATTTCTTCCATTAGAGCTCTGGGGACCACTAGCTGCACCACAGGTTAGATACCACATCTTGATGGTTCATAACGACAATACAGTATCACCATCCTACACTCATAACTGACTATACAAGTGCAATATTTTTTGTATGCATCAGTATTATGTTTACAAAGTTACCTTGCTGAACAACAAGTAGCACCCAAGCTAAGTCTGGGTCCTTCAGTTACTTTTTCCAAAGTTCCTGATTGGTCATTAATGATATTGATCTAAATACAGAATCATCACTTGTATAATTTGAAGTCACTGCTACTGCCATGTGTCCAGCATCTGAACATTTAATGAAAGAATAAAATCTCACAGACTGGCAATATAATCCATCAGCATTTCCATGCTAATGATTTCGTCAGTGTTGTACAATGAAGTTGTACTTAAGCATGGTTATCTAATATGCTATCATACTTTCTGGGTTTTGAAGTTTATTTGCCCTTTGAATAATGCATGGTTCATTTAAAATGGTGAACCCCCTATCACAGACATAGTGACAATAATATTTGAAAATACTATAACTGTAAACAGTCCTTTCTTTGTTGTACAGTATCAGAACTCACCAGCACTCAGTTTATGACTCACATATGCAATCACTCTCTCCACCCCATGCCAATTCCACTGTCACCGGCATCTGTATTCAGGATGAATGGACAATTTAAAAAAGGATAAGCCAATACTGGCACCTTGATCATGGTAAACTCCAAAGACTAAAAACATCTTCACATTTTCATGGCGTTGATAACACGAGACAAAATATAGAAATATGTAAGCTTCTCATTTGTTAGAAGGCAGTCCTTGACTGCTGTGATATTTGCAGGATTGGTGGACACTTCATTTCCACCAACTAGATGAATCAGAAACTACTTTGACACATGCGAGTACAAAGTTTCAATTTCAAGCATGCATCCTTGATGCACTGAACTACCATTACTAGGTTCTCAGCTGCAGTTTGAAATATGCAACCAAAGACACGTATTTGAGTCATACAAATGAGACATATCTAACATTGCAGTCCTCTCACTGTAAATTCCATCAACTGCTTAAAGGTTGCAGGAGCATTACATAAACAGAATGGCATGATGGGAATTCATACAGTCCTTTTTGAATGCTGAAACCAGCCTTAGGCCTACCTTCATCATACAGTTTTACCTTCTAATATCCAAATGGTATGTCCAGTGAACTGAACCAACACATTCAGATGTTTGTCTTCATGTGGTAAAGGAAAGTGTCAATAAGCATCACCACATTCACCCATCTCAAGTTCAAACAGTGCCTTAGCATTCTACCCTTCCAGACAGAAATGAATGTTTCATGCAGTGGATTTATTACCACAGTAGAAAGTGACAACATACTGGACTGTATATCTTTAGTATACTAGAGAATATTGCTTGCACATTAGGGGAAACTACTATATCTTTTTTCAACACACACTTGTACAGTTCACTGTTCTTGAAACAAATCTGGTTGGCATTGGTAGTTTTGTTGTAGTATTGCAGTTCGCTTGCTGTAAATGCAAAACTGGCTGACAATTTCCATAGTAGGTCCATCTCAAATTTACCACTGCCTGAATGCAAATCAAACTACCTTTGCTTGGCATATGAAGTTGCCAAGAAAAAGTCAAAGACGTGCCTCTCCACTCATTGACATTTCCCAGAATAATGTTTGTGCTGAATCATTGGGAATCATGACTGTTGTGCCATGTTGCAATATCAATCTGTCTCAACACCTTTAGAACTTTGGAGGCCATTAAAGGCTCTGAAGGCTGTTTTGGACCAGGGTCAACTTCTGCAGTTGCCACTGCTGCTGGCCTACTCTTTTGCTCCAGCATATGGCTTGATGTGGCTACCTCAAACTGTGTCACCACTGAAACTGTCTCTATGAAAGATGAGATGTTCCTCAGTCTTAGTGATGCTACATGGGTTCATTCCTTCTTGGAAGGTATTACATGGCATGACCAGGTGACTAGGGCGCTCGACTCGCAATCTGAGGGTTGCAGGTTCGAATCCCTGTCCCACCAAACATGCTTGCCCTTTCAGCCGTGGGGATGTTATAATGTGACAGTCTATTCGTTGGTAAAAGAGTAGCCCAAGAGTTGGTGGTGGGTGGTAATGACTAGCTTCTTTCACTGCTAAATTAGGGATGGCTAGTGCAGATAGCCTTCATGTATCTTTGCATGAAATTGAAACCAAAGTAAGATAGCCTGTTTAAACTGGTGTAACAGAAATCTGTACAATTTGTTTAACTTAAGATTACATGTAAATCAAAAGGGTACTTAAGTAGAACATTTCAGTTCTCTTCCTTCGTTTTTTTTTATTGCTTTTTATTTTATCGACTCCAGCAACTAGATGACACAGAAGAAGCTTGGTCAGTTTTGGTAACTGAAGAATGTGTTTGTGCTTCTTAGTCTATCTATTGACTCTTTGGTTCAGTAAAGTTTAGGGCCAAGTTCAAAGCTTGAAAGTATGGACCCCAAGAGAACTTGCCATCTATGCAGACAGTTTAAGGAGATTACACAGAAAGATATTGCCTGCTATGCCTTCTGATGATCGTGATATTGTGCTCATTGACAAATTTATTGGGAGGTTACTTTCATACAGAAACACATACATGTGAGTTTAAGATGCAAGAACAAAGGTTGCGGTACATAGCCCTTACTTATGTAAAAGAATTAGCACATATTTTACAAAAATTCAAAAGATGATTTTAATCATTACAGTTGAAAAATTAATATATATAATGTATTAAATGTTAAATAGCTAGTGATAGTATGCAAAACATATTTATATAAGTACTTGGAATGAGTTTCAGGTTAGAAATTATTAGTTTTGTCATCACAGATTAAGTAGTAAATTATTAGTTAGGTTATTTATTGTACTAGAGGTTAAGACATCAACAATCAATATATACAGAGTGATGCAAAAGTTGTGTACCACCATGACAGCAGATGGCATGATGACACACTGTCACTATTTTACTCAAGGTCAACTCACTTCCACACATTCTTGCAATAGAGCAGAGTAATTTATTGCCCATTCAATATAATCGATTGCGTATGAGCATCAATTACATGAATTAGTGTCATGTAAAATAAACGATTAATCAAAATTAAGATTAAACCAATTAATGGTGCTGACAATTAATCGATTAGTAAGTTTCACTTATCATGCAGTTATTTTTCACCATTCTGTAAATTGAAAAAAAATCTTTCTATCTATCTATATGTGTGTTATTTTTTTGTCACACGACCTACTTTGCATTGTAGTTTACGTAATTTATCGTGTAGAGCTCCTTTAATTCTCCCTACGAGCTTAAATGAATGATGGAAGTCACCAATGGCTGAAAATATTGTTGATGGTAAGGATGTACAATTGATGAGTTAATGCACTTATCATCATAGGTTTTAATATCTTGGGTACTGACTTAATAATACATACTGCATCAGAAGTACGATTCAAAACACAGTAGGTTTGAAATGTTATACATATGTTAAGCACACTGAATTAACTGATGCACATTTAACTACTTTTCAAATGCTATTAAATGTTAAATAAAGTAAATTAGTTACATTTATTAACAGTTGTTGAAATTTCACGATATTCATACAAGTGTAATCTTTGTTAGTGGCAGAAATTTTGATTACTAATGCACAGAAAGAGTGGAGATACACAATACAAAAATCGACCAGGAGAACAAGAGGTTCAAATACGTGAACAAATTCATTTGTATTAAAAACTGTTTCCAGAAAATAAGTAGTGTATCTTATTATTCTAATATAAACATGTAATTACGATGTATGTAACTACACAACTGCTACATACCTCAACAGATTTTTCTGTACAAACCTTCTTTCCAACGGTTATTCCAAGTACACTAATGAAAGAAATAATGCATATGTCAATAAGTTAAAAATCTTCTTTGAAGGTACTTTAACACTACTGTTGTCTAAATGTGTGCATGTGTGTATATATACACACACACATATTTGGACAGTGGTAGTATTAAAAGCAAATAACTTCAACAAGGAATTAAAACAGTTTAAAAAAAAACGATTGTAATTTGGCTTCACCTACAATGTATCAATTGCCTTAGTTGATCATTTACACAGTAAATGATCTTTACTTATGATTTCAACTGTGACTAAACTATACATAAATGTTTCAAAAGAAAAATTATGCAGAGTAATTAAGCCTAAATAAATGTGAATACTAGACTTTAGAGCATGAACAATAACTTGTCAACTATTGTGATAGCCTGGAAGTCATCTGCTATATATTTAGTTGGCCCTGACCAGATGGTAGTCCCATGGGTTGATTAGTATTTTAAACATTTTCCTATTTTACCTTGTCATCAAATGTGAATTTCTATACTTCTTTCCGAAAAACCATATTTGAGTTTTCGTCTCACGAAAGTATCTTCTTTACTTCAATTTCCCAAATGGAGCCCCTAGCTTTCTGGGGATCCCTGCCCTATTTTTCAATATTATGAGAAAATTGTATGGTGTCTGTAATGAACAGGGGGGTTCTTTCCTAAAATGTAAATGGTGAGATCGATCCAATTAAAGTGTAACAAATATTAAAATAGTAACCTCAAGTCACGTTATATTTTTGTGTTTATCTGGATTAATATAAAGATTATGTACATTCCGAGAGTGATATAACCATAAACTATTGTTTTCAATTGAAGAATTTTGTTTAATGTTACACATATATGCACAAACATATTTGCAATTGTGTTTTTCTTTACAAATTCACATCTGAAACTGGTAAAATGGAATTAACATATATAAACATATTTTTGGGGTGGACCAATTATAATTTTTGCAAAGGACTGATTAGAAATTTTGTGAATTTTGGACCCTGGTATATTTATGTATCTTTTTCTTCACAATCTTAAAAGATTGTTCTGACAAATGTTGAAGATTTACCTTTAACTATTTCTGATTGAAAACTATAAAACATTATGTCATGACAGACTCTGTAGAATTGCATAATATACTCTGATATTAATTTTCCAACCATAATGGGAAGAACTAGAATATGTTTAATTAAAGCTTAACTAGAAATTAATCACCTAGATCATTGCTAATAGTCTCTACCAGTGGAATATTGTATATAACATGTTTTGATAAGAACCAAACATATAATGTTTGAGTTTTCTACTGTGTTTTGATTAAATAAACACTAGCAGTGTGTCATAACTATATGAAAATTCACAATAAAAGGCACTGAACTAATAAGTAACAGTGTACAATGTATTTCTAATGTTGCAAAATTTTTTCGATATTCATGTTATATAGTGGTACCTACCTTACACCATGAGGACGTTTTCTCAGACTCTGTATAACTTTTGTATCTTCTAGTACTGATCTAAAAGTAAACACATATAACAGATGGCAATAAGTGCTTAAATGATAAGTAAACTCTAAATGTATTCCAATTATGAAGATATATTTCTAACATTTAACTGTGTGTATATATCAATGGTCATCTCTTAGCTTTAATATACAAACAAATCAAAGTAGGTTTTAAAAACAGATTCCAAAAATATATGCACATATAATATAACATGTACATCTGCATATACATCATCCAGTGTTTCTATGCACTTAAGGCAAAAATAGAGCTGAAATATTGTGCAAATTTTTCACAAATCTGTCTTGTTAGTAAAATGCACAATCTGTACTATATATTTTCATGGTAATGAAGAATTTAAAAACATCCTAATCTGGTTAGATGAAACATGTTAAAAAAACACAAACAATAAAAAGGCTATAATGTTCTTCAGAGTAAAATCGGTATCTTGTTCAAATCGTTAGTTGGTGTTCGTTAGTCATGATACTAATAGATTAAATTGAACAATCTTGAATCAATGACAAATAATAATGAGAAATCAAAATGACAATATTTTGTTTACTTGGACAATAATATCTGGAAATACTGATTTCAGTTAATTGAGTATTTTCATGACATTAATTGACTTAATCATAATTTTAATTAAATGATTATTTTATGTAACACTAAATGATGTTTAAGTACTCATAGATAATCAATTATATGAATTAACTGAGTTACTCAATTCTAACTTTTATACCCAGAAGAGAATGGTGATCTCTGAAATATAGCTCAAATTACAAAATTTAACTGGAAAGGTTTTTTTTTCTTTTGCCAATGTCAAACTTCAAAAGTGACAGCTAATAATATTACTTTTTAATGAAATTTGAGAAGGAACCTTAATGTGGAATGTTAAACAATTTGTTTGCCATTGTTTTCATATATCAAACAAAAGCATTTCCTAAACTATAAATACTTTTAATGGTGTCAAGAAACTTTAAATTCTGTTTGTTCAATAAAAGTTTTTTTTTTTTTGGGGGGGGAAGCTTGTGAAACTTCTTGAGAGAAAGCACTTACCATTATTTTTCAAAAGACAGTGAAGAAATTCTTGATGATATTGATAGGGTATGAGTAAAGTAGTTATGTTTGCTGATGACATTAAACTCTTGGGTGTTTTTAATTGTAATGAAGATCCAACATGATAATAACTGACATGTAGATGTTGGAATTGTGTTATAAATCTGAAGTTCATTAACACATCTTTTTATTAGAAGAAATAAACCTGAAAATAATGAAAAACAGACAAAGGCAAGTGATAAGAGTGAGAAATGCATACTACAATAAGACAATGAGATCTATACTATTTCATAGAAAGTATGTCTTTTGAGCTGCAGATGATATACTAATATTATGATATATAGTGAAGGGCAGTACCTTACATGAGTTTATGAAGGGACTAGAGCTGATGACTTCCTAAAAATTAAAGGCAGGTTTCAATTTTCACTTTTCTGAAGGGTGGGTGTTCAAATGGTCCCTTGTCTGTCTGTTAAGTTAATATGACTCTTATGTTCATATCTAATAAGAATATATATACAATGCACTAGTAAAGTTGAGATTGCAAGTATATAGGTTAACTAATAAATAAAATATTACATATAATTACAACCAAATGTCTCTATTGAACAACCTGAGTTTTATATTTATGTTGTGTTTACTTTATTGTCCCTCCAAAATGAATAATAGTGCGATCCAAAGAAATACATTTACTCATAGGTGTCAGAAGCAATTAAATATTAGTAGGGTTACAATTACAACTGTGTATATGTGTGATGGTGATAGGGCAGGATTTGTTTGGTGATGATATTAATAAATCCAAATAGAGATAATATGTGACAATTTTAGTATGGTTAAGCCCAACTAGGTCATTCAGTTCCTATGCCTATGCATTTATTATTATTATTATAAGTTTTTTGTATATTTTATTGCATATCTTAAAATATGTACTTGTGGAACATAACATACTTATTTTTTTTATATGTACGTTTTATTTAATATCTATTTGCTTGGAACCTGAGTCCTTAGTGGAGCATGATTCAGGTACCATCAAGACAGATTTCTTAATTAATGTCCTAATTCATTATATAGTCCATGTTAGCATACCAAATGTGAAAGAAGCCAATTTCCTGTTGTTTTTTAGTATGTAGCCAACTTGTTGAAGACAAGTTTCATACTGGCTCAGAAAAAATATCTAGCTTAAGGAACTTGGAATTTCTCTATTTTATTTTGATGGGATTTTCAGTATTTTGGCAACCTCTTAATAACTGAGCTTATTTGTCACATTCTGTCAGCATCATAGACTTAAATGCACTAAGTCTTAAAATAAAGCAATACAGATTAGTTGGTGAACTCCCATATCACCGAGTCTAGTGTCACCTAGGTATTAATATCATAATGTACTTATATATACAACTTATTATAAATGTTGGTTTCTAAATTAGTCTTGTAAATTCTAAATCAGTACTTCTGATTTCAATAAGCCATAAGCACAAGCCTACTGAAGTGATTGAACAATTAAAATCTGTTTCAGAGCTTCCCATTCTCAAGCACTTGATTTTTACCTATGTAATGGCAAAGACCCTACAAGAACATATGAAACTGAATGGCACAAGAATTGAAACATTTTCTACACTACACACGTGAACAATACTTTCCTCAGCCTTCCACAAAAAATATGTAAATGATAAACAAATGCTTTGGGCCAGAATGCTTTTTCCCTGGTGGTTTTAACTTTGAATTTTGATGGACCATCTACTTTCTAATACACTGACTTTGACTAGGCAATTTTAATCTCCTTATACGAAAAACAAGAAAGATTGAAATATAATTCACATCAATCATCTACGTTCATGAATACGTTGATATACAATCAACGTATTACTAACACAATAATAGTTAATACCATTATTAGTATTACTATTAGTACTATTACATAGACTAATGATCCCTATATACGTTGTAAAATACACAATAATCAATAGCTAATTTTAAATAACACAGTACACGTACCGACGACTGACATTAATGTCAACATAATTAAATTATCGATGCAAATATAAGAAATACTGGGTAAGAATTGTATGCACTGCTATTGTTAGTGCTAGTACTAGCGAGTGCATTTGTTTCCACTTATAGTTCTTTAAATTTAGTTTAACTTTAAAAATAATCGCAACAACGCTGTACCGTCTACAGTCTATTTAGATTATTTACGCGCGAAAGTTCCCCACGAAAATAAATTTTTACTACTTACCTAATTTCACTCGAATCTTCTTCTTCCTCATGATCATCACTACCAGAAGATCTGCGTCTCCTAATATTTCTATTCCGTTTCTTAAATTTTACCACTTGAGCGTCTTCGCTCTTTTCCTCCATTTTAAATAACCAAGATGACTTTCGATTGGATTCTGAACTTCCCTACAACCTGTATAATTATAATAATAAAGCATATAAATCAAGATTATGATTCACTTAAAACTTATGAGCTTGTATTTATTACAATAAATGAAAAATAAATTTATATTTTAGTTTCTTTATAGTTTTATTTGATAAGAATAATTGGTTTAAAATGACTGAAATTTTTCGAGAGTATTTTAGCACAATAATCCCATCTAGAAAAACAAGAATTTTGTTATAAAATATGGGCTATATTAAAAAGTGTGAATTGTCGATCACATATGATACCAAAATAAAAGCGTGACCTCTTTGTAGAGTAAAGGAAGTTTTACACCCTTACGGACATTGTCATCAAAAAATTATAGAAAGTTTACCCTGCATATGCCTTACTTCGGTTGTGAATTTTGTTTTCCTCTTTGTTTGGCCCGGCATGGCCAGGTGGTTAAGGCACTCGACTCGCAATTTGCGGGTCGCAGGTTCGAATCCCCGTCACACCAAACATGCTGGCCCTTTCAGCCGTGGGGGCGTTA